CTATCGACTCGAGACTGGTATTCTTCTCGCCACCTTGATATGAGTGGCCTCATCCGGCATATGAATGTTGCCTTGATGATACCCCTTTCGAACATTTTACTCAATACCATATACAGGCCACTCCTGCTTGACCACCTTACTCTCCCTTCCTGAAATCCGTTATACAATGCCACATAAGGGCCGGTTCTCCCTGCTTTTTATACATCCAGAAGCGACAGTTTTTTTCTCCTATACTGTTGATCCAGTCCTACTCATTTTGTTTATATGTTAGGAGTTTTTTTTTCACTGCCCGCTCATCATTCTTCGTAACATACTACTTATTAAATAACTACGCATTAAGTGTTGTATAGGCTCTTGTATCTGTTCTGAAATTCATGTAATGTTATTCTCACTTGCCATGAAAGGACCCCTACGGTTCTCGAATAAAAATTATTATTACTATTGTAAGAAAAAACCGTCACTCAAGGGATGGCAAATACATGTGTGAGACAGGACCGTTCTGCATGCGGTTGTTTATGAAGATTCGGAACGGACATTGCCAGGGTAGAATTCCTAAACCGTATGAGGCTTTCCGCTGCAGATGCTGTCATTATATTTTGCGTAAAAACCAGAAGCAACTGTCAAGTTTAGGAGACAGGGGAGAACCACTGCAGTTGATCACATTCCGCTTAGGTTCCAAGCGAGGAGGGGAAACTAAAGGCTGCGAGAATCATCAAGGCTGGAAAGGATGCGGCCGTGATACTTATTCGATGACCGCTCAAACCACTAGCAGGTGGCGAAAACAGAGGAATCAGCTGATGTTGTCAGCAGATCACTTGGGTTTGAAATGTGGAGAGGATGCCAAACTCTGCGAAAATCCTAACCACAAGTGAAAAGTAATAACGGAAGATGAAACAGCCAGTTGAAAGTATAGGGTTGGAAAAACTGAGAGCTTCCACTCAAGAGAATGACACACGCATTATCTGTCAGTAAATCCCAGGAAGACCCTTTTCAATGTTCAGACGTCAAGTGTTCGAGAACGCAACGGACAACAATGACTTGATGCTTTCCGAGGGAGAGTGTTTGTGTAATTGCTATTTGAGTGCCCATAGTTTAGGTGATAACGTAGGTTTTAGTGAAAGATCATCCCAAAGAAAGGCGTAGTTGGGTGCAAAAAGAGGAACGCTTAGGTAGTTAGACTGGCATGACTTTCTCTCCAGTAATGATGTAACAGTTCCTTGTGACGTCACGTCATGTGGTTCCAGAAACATCTCAGAATGTATGCTTAGTAGACATCTCAAGTTTACCCCTCGGGCCACCTGTTAGATGCGCTGGACCAAGACGGGGGCCACATCGGATTCTGGCAGGCGCTATCTGTGCGAAATAGCAAATGCCAACATCTAGGGGGTGCGCTGACAGTCCCTTTTGTCGACAGTCGTCGCACAACTGGGATCACTGCCACGCCCTCCATTGTTGTGACGGTCAAATCCTGGTCATTGTTGTGCGGACCAGCGAGTGCGGAGTGAAGCGCCAAGGCGAGGATCCGTCCGAGCCATCCACCTGCGGCCTCCCTCGTCCCCGGTCTTTTTGCCTCTGTCTCGACACCGAGCTCAGGCGGGGGAGGAGAAGAGAGTGTAGGTAGATGCAGCGCAAGTCCACTGGCACTATAAACCCATGCGCAAGTCACCGTCTCTGCTCCCACAATGCAGTCAGTGGGACACACGGTGGACATAGTCAAAATCAATGGTCGAACTATCATCCCTCGCATTCTGTTGTACCTGATTTATTTGTAACAAACTAGAACAGTGGAGAAGGCAAGTGAATGACTTTTCTACTAGTTCTTTGTCCTTTCATCTAAGAATCACAGAAACTTTTGATATGGCCTCGAGGACGCGCCAAGAGCGCGACAGACAGACAAAATCACTTGTTTCCAATGTTCCAAACCTTGGAAAATCCGCGGCCAAAATCTTCCCTTATCAGTCCTCTTCTAAGCATGGTCAGAACATTCCCCTTACTAAACATTAACAAAATCTTCCCTATCGATGACACTAACAAGGCGACATATTTTACCGCACTCTTTGAGAAACGTCTTACAACTGTGTCCGCACCGGTTCCTTTCTTTCGTTCACCTTCAGATAGGAAACTGAGTACAATAGATGTCGCCTTAGATCTAATTAAGAAACCTATAGGTCGCGTAAACGTCACGCTGTTCAGAAATGGTCTAGTGGTGCCGCACATGGCGTCTTTCTCTCTCTAGGCATAAATGTTCAGTCATGATGGTTGGCGATGACCATCAACCTCAACTAAGTATTGACAGTCAAGACATAAATGTGCCGGAAGTTATTAAGGATCTGGGTGTATCATATTCCAAGAGCCTTAATCCTTTGGAGCATTGAGCCCTGGTAGTCTTCAAAGCACGCAGAACGATCAAGTTTATCCTCCGAACTTGTAAAACTAGCGATATCAGAATGCGCCTTTACAAAATGTGTGTCAGACCCGGCCGAGAATATTGTTCGTTTTTATTTAATCTCATGAGTACTGTTGGGCGAAAGAAAATAGACTCCGTCTACCACTTTTTTTCACCAAGAGAGTTTTAACCTTCAACCGCCAATATTTGACCCACCAGGAGCCTTGCGAATTTACAGGCCTTGACCGCTTGTGATTTCGTCCACCGCAAAAGTGACTATTTTTGCTGTTTATGCTTTTAGATAAGCGTACTTTTAACCCGCTTAATGCTTTAAAGCATCATGAACACCCCCGACGTAATAGTCAAAGTGAGGTCTTTTTATTTCTTTCTCTGGCAACTCCCGTTAAATATCGTCCTTTCTTTTCTGTGAACGCAATTGCAATTTGGAGCAAATTTCTTATGAATGCAAAAATTATGCAAAGTTATTTTTTTGTAAGAGAATCATCACTTGTTGTTTAAATTCAAAAAAATATCTCACATATTTTGAGTGCCGAATCCACCGGCTTCATCTACCATATCGATGGATTTAGTGGTCTCTGATTCCAATGGACGGTCTCACTACGGGCAATTTCTTCATCCTCGAGAAGGAGCTAGAAGGGGTGCTTCAAGCAAACACTGAGATCGTGTCACTCTGCCCGCAGACTATGACTGGCAAATGGACAACTCACATTCGAAACAATCAAACGAAAAACAACTCGCGATCTCACTCCCCACCTCGTCCCACAGGCTGCTAGTGTGAGGCCGCTCGCTATAGCAGTCAAGAATGTTCGTTTCTTTGTAGGCAGTCTGAGAAGCAGTCAGCCGGGACGAAGGACGGCGCTAATTGCTCGGGAACTAGTGTGCTACAAAGTGGACATCGCTGCTTCCGGCGAGACTCGCTTCTCCGAACATGGCCAGCTGGAGGAAAAAGGGGGCAGCTACACCTTCTTCATCAGAGTAATGTGACACAGATATCGCCTTTGTCATTCGAAACGACGTCGTGGGACAACTGTCTTGTCTGCAGCAAGGCATCAGAAATCGTCTCACGAGTCTGCAACTGCCTCGCCGTGGGCCAAAGTCACCACCATCGTCGATTTCCGCGCCCCACCTATGACCAAATCCTACGAAACGAAAACCCAGTTCTTCAAAGACCTGCAAGCCCTTCTGGCAACTGTACCGACGACGGACAAGCTAGGTGGCCTTCGTGACTTCACTGACCGCGTCGGGACAGGCTACGCTGCCCAGAGGGTAGTGCTGGGTACCCACGGGATAGGCGATCTCAACGACAACGGCCTCCTGTGAACCTGTGCAGACTACCGCCTCTTCTGACCAACACCTCATTCCGCCTTCCGATGGGGGAAGAAGACGACCTGGATACACCTATGAACGCGGCAATGACAGTTGCTGGACTACGTGTTCGCCTGGAGGCGAGATCGGGAGGCATGCTAGAGACGAAGGTGAACAGCGATGCTGATGTCTGGACGGATCACCGCCTCGTTAACTCCTGCGACCCCATAGGGAACCGCATGTTAGACGACCATCAGGCGAATCAAATACTGTTTAACTGAATTTGCCTGCCGAACGCTTACATTTCAGCAGTCATTTTGCCCGGAACCTAGAAGAAATGCCGGCTCCGGACGACAAAGCCAACATGGGAACTCGGTAGTGTCAATTTCTAAACGCTGTGCATTCGGCTGCCTCGGAGATCCTCGGACGCGCACCTCGTCAGCACCGGGACTGGTTTGATGACGACGACACAGACATCAGCTAACTGCTCACTGAAAGGCAGAGGCTACATAAGTCCTTCATGAACCACTGGACCGACGCCAAGAAAGCGACCTTCTTCCGCAATCACCGCTTCGTGCAGCACCGACTCAGGGTGATGTAGGATATCTTAATGTCTCGTAAGGCCAAGGGAATCCAGGGGTATACCGACCTCACTAAAACCAGTAACTTTGCATCACTCCAAGCGGCCTACGGCTCCAAATCAAAGAAACGGCGCCGCATCTCAGCTCCGATAGAACAGTGGTACTGACGGAGAAGTCACAGACTCTGAAGCGCTAAGTCGAACACTTCAGAAGTGTCCTCTACCGCCCATCTACAATATCCGAAGCCGCGATCGACGGACCCTCCCATATGGGAACGAAAAACGATTAGGTTCTGTCGCCTTCTTTCCCAGAAACCATTACATCCATGCACCAAATCTCCAACAAAAAAGCACCGGGATCCGATGCGGTTCCGGTCCAAGTCTACAAGCACGACAGCCCTCGGCTAATAGATCGGTCCACAATACTATTTCGGCAGATGTGACATCGGGGACGAGTTCCTCAGGATTTAAATGATGTGATAATCGTCCGTCTCTTCAAACGTAAAGGGAATTGGCAACTCTGATAACCAAAGAGTAATGCCTCTGTTCATTATCGACCGGAATGGCTTTGCCTGATTTCTTGTCAACCGTCTCAACAGCCATTTAGAACAGATACCTCTCCTGAGAAGCCAGTGTTATTTCCGACGCCACCGCGGACCAGTTAACATGATCTTTACTGCCAGCAAACTGCAAGAGAAATGCCAGTAAATGCAGATCCACCTAAACACTAACTTTATGGACTTGACAAAAGTCTTCAACACGGTGAATCGTGAACAACTGCGGAAAATCATGCAGAAATTCGGCTGTCCTGAGCGACTAACGCATATGATGCGTCAGCTCCATGGCGGGTTGATAGTTCGCGTCACTGACAAGGAGGTCGCCTCAGACGTATTTGCAATAACTAACGAAGTGAAGCAGTGCCGCGTACTTAATCCCGCGCTCTCCCACCTCATGTTATTTGCCGTTCTTATATACGCCTACTGTGGTGCGAGCCCCCAGATCCACATCGCCTACAAAACCGACGGCAATCTTCTCAACAGTCTACGCATAAAGGTCTCAGCGCGTCTCTTTACGACTACTATCCACGACATGCTTTTCGCTGACGACTGTGCAATCAACACTGAGACAGAAGCTGACGTGCAGCGGAGCATGGAACTCCGCCTCCGGGTGCACTTAATTCGGGTTGACTTTCAACACGGACAGAACAGTTGTCACGCATCAGTCGTGGCCCTACGCTATTCGCATCTGCATCAACGGCACCAGGTGAAGACGGTAGATAACTTTGCCTACTTTGGCAACGAACTCTCGCGCATTAAAATCGACAACGACGTGGTTCGCCGAACCTCCAAAGCCAGCTAGGATTTCGGCCAACTGCAAAATTCCGTGTGGAATCGTAACGGTCTTCATTTTCACGACAAACTGAAGGATACAAACCTGTCATCTATGGGACTTTGCTACATGCTGCTGAAACCTGGACACTCAACAAAAAGGAAACGCGGAAACTCAGTCACCTCCACCTGAGTTGTCTCCACCGGATATTAAAGCCAAGATGCAGGACAGGATCCTAGACACGAAATTTTTGGAAGAACTGGAATCCTCAGCATCCCCGCCATGCTTAGGCAGCTGAAACTACGCCTGAAAGGCTCCTAGTGAGGATGGACGGAGAGCGCACCAAAACGAATCTTCTGCGGACATGTCTCCACGGGTGCTCGCCAGGGACGAGGTCAAACCCGTAGCTACAAGAGCACCTTTAGGCGGTTAGATATTAACCCAAAGTTTTGGGGAGACCCTGCACAGAACCGATTGGCTTGGTGAAGAGCAGGGAAAAATGGAACCGCCATCTGTGAAGTCGACTAGATTGCCGCTTTCAAAGCCAAAAAGGAAGCTTGCAGGTCTTAGGCGCACCTGATCTGCAAAACCGCCCCCAACCACAACGAAAATGCCGGACCTGTCAACGGACATTCCGCGTGCGGATCGGTCTCGTCGGCCATCTTCGAACTTAACGCAGCAGCTCGACAACCCCACCCAGTTAGCCTGGTGCATATTTATGTGGAGTGGCTGACTGGTGGACTGGGAGTCAGTCCGCAAAGACTCCTTTGTAATGCATCCTCTATGGCACTCCCGGTTCGTGGGACTAGAGCCGCCCCATCACCGCTTGTTGTGTAAAATTCTGGTCGTTTATGTTTTGAATTATGGA